ATTGGGGGAAGGCTCTGCCAGGGGAAGATGAGTAAGAACAAAGTAAAATTGCACAAAAATGCCATAGTAGAAACCTTTTCCTTATTTATACAGTAACTTGAAAAAGAAAGAGAGGGAGGGAGGGAGGGACGGACGGAGGAAGGGACGGAGGGAGGGAGGGAGGGAGGAAGAAATATAGTCAACTATTAAAAATAAATCCCTTTTTCTATATAATCTAAGCCCAGGACAGTGTGACTTCAGTGAAGCAAGCCAGGTCAAGACTGCCTCGTGTCCATGCTGGCTTTCAGCGTAGGCAGCACTGTGAACAAGAGCTGGCCTGCTGTTTTCCATTTCTGACTCTTCTCATGGCTCATGTTCTTGCCCCTGTTGAGTCACACGCTGGCTGGTTTGGGTAGAGACAGCCTGTTCCATTGCAGACGAAATTGTCTCTGCTCATCAAAAAGGTCTTACATTTCCACATTGGCTCCCACAGTGTACCTATTTGAGTCACATAGGATTCTGGAAGCTATAATTATAATTGGCAAGTAAATTGAAAATACTGGACTATAATGTCACATCTCCACATTCTGTGGTAATTACCCATCCAAGACAAATTCTTTTTAGAAAGAAACAAACAAAAACAACTTTTATTTCATTTCACCCTATTGCAGAACATGGAGCTATCCCAATGTATATTCATTTCCCTATATCAACCAGTGGTATTGAAATCTTGTGGTCAGTAAGGCCTCATTTACTGTGGGTTTAAGCTCCTCCCTCTGCTCCTTATTTGCAATGATTCATAGTATTCTCCCAAGATGATCATGAATTTTCAAATTATCCTGTGTAATGACTCAATCAATCAATTATGATCTATCAATATAAGGGTCTGATATTCTCTTCAAACATGAAAAGCAGTGGTATAGGCATTGTAGATATTTTAAAAGCCAGCTTTTAAAACTTAAACTTGATAATTTTAAAGATTTCTTTTGTGCACATATATTGTATGTTGCTCATATTTCCACCCACACCCCCTTACCCTGCTTTCTCTAACACCCCAGACTGGTGTAGGAGGCCCTTCTGTATTTGTGTTGCCTTCATTGGTTATTAAAGAAACTGCTTTGGCCTTTTGATAGGGCAGGAATTTAGATGGGCAGGGAAAACAGAACAGAATTCTGGGAGGAAAAAAGCAGAAACAGGCAGACACCATGGTTCTCCTGCCCAAGAAGGATGCTGGTTAGACTCATGCCTGTAAACCACAGTCAAGTGGTAATACACATTAATGGAGATGGGTTAAACTAATATGTGAGAGTTAGCCAATAACAGGCTAGAAATAATGGGCCAGGCAGTGATTTAATTAATACAATTTCTGTGTGGTTATTTCGGGGGGGTTAAGCTAGCCAGGCAAGGGGACAGGACGCAGCCCACTCCTTGCTCCTTACAACACCAGCCTTTTAACAGTCTTTTATTTCTCCATATGAAACTTGAGACCTGCCATTTAAAGAAACCAACATATTTGCTTTTCCAGGGCTGATTTGATTCACTTAATATATTTATCTTCATTAGCATCCATTTTCTGCAAATAATCTAATTCTGTTTCATCTTAACGGTTGGAAGAATGCCTTTTGTTGTGTGTACATTCACTTTGTTTGCCTCTCCCTCTGCTAACAGACCACAAACTGTTTATGTCTATTAAATGGAGCCTCTCCATTTCAAGCATCTGCCTATTTGGAAAATGTAAACACGGTGAATTTCAAGATACCAGCTTGAGATCCTTGAATACAGAGCTGGGATGAACTGGCTCTACTACAATCACATAAAAAGATATCAAAGACATATTGAGTGTAGGAAGTGATTTCCATACACTTTCTGTACTGTGGTCCCCTTTTTGACTGATTTAAAAAATATGTGGGAGTCCCACTGTATTTGTAGACATATATGTTTGAAAAGAACAACTTCCACTATATTAAAATTTAAAAAGTAAATGAACAATATTACCTACCTCAGAAAAGAAACAAAATTTGTGCCGGATGCAGTGTGACTGTTTAACACATGCAGTGATCTATTAACAGTGCTTGTCTCTGGGGAGTGGGAGCAAAGTGCTTGTTACTGACACACTTTGATCTCACTGACAGCAGCATCATTTATAATTCATTTTCATTGTTTTTCTTAGATTGAAAATAGATTTTTTTTCCCCTGGGGCTGGAGAAATGGTTCAATGGTTAAGAGCACTGTCTGCTCTTCCAGAGGTCCTGAGTTCAGTTCCCAGCAACCACATGGTGGTTCACAACCATCTGTAATGAGATCTAGTGTCCTCTTCTGGCATGCAGGCATATATGCAGAACATTCATATATAAAATATAAATGAATTGAATTTTACAAAAAGAAAATAGATTTTTTCTCACATATACTATATCCCTATTACAGTTTCCCCTACTCCTCCCAGCTCTTGCCTGCAAAACCACTCCTTTCTGCCTCTCATTAGAAACTAAGCAGGCTTCTAAGTGAAAATATAATATAATAGCAATATAAACCAAACACTATACAATGGAATAGCACAAAACAAACAGAAGAAAGAGAACCCAAGAAAAGGCACAAGAAACAGAGACTGAGAACACTTGATCCTAAATGGGGTGTCTCCATCAAATCCCTCCCCTCAGGGCTCAGGGAACCCTGCAAAAGAGGAAGCAGAAAGAATGTAAGAGCCAGAGGGGGATGGAGGACCAAGGAAACAAGGCCTTCTAGACACAATAGGACCAATGCACACACAAACTCACTGAGACTGAGGCATCATGCAAAGGCCTATATAGGTCCGTATCAGATGGGGTCATGGAGCTGGGAGGAGAAGTGGACACAAGCCCCGATCCCTAACCCAGCGACTTTCAGAGATTGATAACCACTTGCAAAAGAAAATTGTTTCCCTCACTAGGGAAAGAAAGTGCTGTTATTGTGTAGGCTGCATGCCCAGCAGCCGATGGTCAACAGAAGACAAACACAACGGCATCTTTGGAGGCTCCTTGGTTCATAATGTCTTGCCGGGACCTTTTAGAAAAAAATTTATCTTATTTAAAATTTTTACATACATACATACATTCATACATACCCTACAGATCCTTTGTGTATATATCATGGTTTCCATTTGAGTCTTTTTATGGAATTCCTGAGTGGTTCTCTATGCCTATAATTCATTTTAAATAAGGCTTTAAAAATTGAAACATCCACAGGATATCAGTATGATTCATTTCTCGGCAATGAACTCTTTGGTCATGAAGTAAGCAAGTTCTTAATAACTAGTCATATTTATTGCATCGTTCTATTAATATAAAGCTATTTTTGGACAAATTAACACTTCCTTTGGAGTTTTAGCTTCTAAAAGGAAATGGAGAATGCACTTGTAAAATAGAAAACAGAAGAGTGGAATAAGCAATGAACAGAACATTCAAATTCATTGTGATCTCAACATGTGCCCTTCGATTATGACGAGAAAAGGTTTTTTTTTGCCAAGGAGAACTGCCTTTAAATAGGAACATAGAGTGAGTCTTTGTGGAAAGCTACTGAATAAGCTCCGCCAAGATGAAACTGTTGGAACCAACCCGCTGTCTGTTGCTCCACAGTACAGAGAAGTGGGAAGCAAATTGGCTGTCCTAACCAGGTAGGGCCTAGGTACACCACTTCGGGTAGCAACTGTCACCTCCAAGCCAGTGCACTCAGCTAAGTCTCACCCCCTTTTCTGTACTTGACTGCCCCTTTCCACCCTCTCATCTTTGTTCATCCCCGAATTGTCCCAGCGTGTCAGTAGGCCCTGAGTTCTGCAGCAATGTAAGCCTCCCTTTTATCCTCTGAACACCCTAGGTATTTATTCCTCATTTTCACAAGGAGGCACTAAACCATAGCAATGGTTTTGAAGTTTTCCTTTAATTTTTAATTACATTTATTTGTGTGTGTGCGCACGCGCGTGCGTGCGTGCGTGTGTGTGCGTGTGTGTGTGTGTGTGTGTGTGTGTGTGTGTGTGTGCTGTGAAAATCAGAGGAGAGCTAGCAGGAGTTGGTTCTTTCCTGCTACTATGTGAGAGTCCCAGGTAGCAAACTCAGGTAATCTGGCTTAGTGGCAATTGCCTTTACCTGTCAACTCATCTTGCAAGCCACAACCAAGATTTCCTTTTTAATTTCTCTGTTTTCTTTTTTGTTTTTATTTATTCCTTAATATGTTCAGAACACTCAGAACATTTTCCAGTGCTGGGAATTGAACGCAGGCTTGAGCATGCCAGACAAGTGTTCTACAATTTATATTTAGATTCAGCAAGCTCTTAAAATCATACACAGGAGGCCATATGGCAGGTGAAGGCTGCTCTGGCCAAAGTGGAAGCAGAGGCAGGAATTCTGTCTAGTTAGCCTCCTGGCTCCCTGTAGGGTCACATGAACTTTGGAAAACCAGTTTTCCTTAGTTCATATTTTCCTTATTGGCCCTGAAGGAGTATACCCACTATCAGACATAGCAAATAAAAGTACTGCATGTTGACTTAAATTAGAACTTCCTATGAAGACAGCCATGGTGCTACACACCCTGAATCTCAGGTTTCTGGAGGCCAAGAGGCAGATGAAACCTTGTCTCAAAAAAGTGAAAGTGAATATTTTTGTATACTTATGTGTATAATTGGAGCATATATATATATATATATATATATATATATATATATATACTCATCATTTATCTGAAATTCAACTTTGAATGAACATCTGTATTTTTCCCCTGGTAAGCCAAGCCCCCAGAAAATAATCAAAGAGCTGGGTCAGAAAGGACCACAAATGGAAGATTTTAAGAAACAACATCAACAAGAAAAGAAAACATTAGCCAGGCCTGGTGGCACATGCCTATAATCATCTACATACATACATACATACATACATACATACCAAGCTGTTTGGGAAGTTAAGGTACGAGGATTGCGAGAGCTAGGCCATCATGGGTCACATAGCAAAAATACATCTAAAAAAGGGAAACAAAAATCAAAGCCCACTACTCACCCCAAGAATTTGTCTTGTGTAATAGTACTTGTCAGACTGCTCATAATTCAGGAAGGCATACACAAACAGAAACATGTTCAGCCCCAACCAAGACACCTAGAAAAAACAAAACAAGCAAGGAATATGGAGGAGCTGGGAAAAGTGTAGGGAAGGGGTAGGAAATAATATGGACATATTGAGTGTCTTGTACTCACCTATTTTCATTTTAAATTAATGTAACTACTAGTATCCAGCTTGTTTTCAGAGTGGCCAATCTGAGGCATGCATCTGATGCTAATGAGAAGGATCAGCCACCTGAGGCCCATGGCCCACACCTGGCTCATCACCAGATTGGCATGTCCTCAAAACTCAGAGTGTTTGCTTTTTGGTTTTCACTTTAAATGCTTGAAAACATCAAAAGAATAACATATCGTGACATAAAAATTACATATACGAAACTCAAATGTCATTGGCTATAACTAAAGTGGGATTGGGATGTCTGCTCTTTTCCATATCGTTTATGGATGTTTTCGTCGTGCTATGGTGAGCTTGAGTAGCTGGAATGGAGACCAAATAGCTTGCAAAAGCCTAAAACATGTATCTAGCTCTCTTCAGAAACAGTGGCCAGTTCCTGGACTGGCATGAGCTTTCAAACTATCACCCCTAAAGAATGACGCTGAATGAACATGTAAATTTCTGAAGAAACAAAGACATTTAGCATCTTTTAAACAGTGCTCACTAGAGAAAGTCTAAACCATTCCCAGCTGGGTCTGCCTCTTTAATGATACCCTGACATATTTTCCTGCTTTTGGGTTGCGAGACTTTTTGGCAACGTAACCTATTGTTTTGTAATTGTGCAAACTGTAACGACTGTGTGCGCCTGTCCAAACCTCTGCACATTGACTAAGAGAATAATTTGGAGATGAACTCTATCCTAGTCTGCAACTGAACAGGTCTCTTTAGCACTGGGATGCGTTTTGATACACCCCAACCCCAAATCACTAAGAAGCATTTCAGCCCAGTAGTAAAGGGTCTTAGTCTGGGGCATGGCCCGTTCATATTCCCTAGATATAGAGCACTCACAGACCAGGAGCAGCGCAGTAAAGTGGTTCTCAGTGTAAACTGGAGTCAAACATCTGAGACTCCATTCTAGTGCCACATGTAATATCAGACATGTGATCTGAATTCTAGGATCAGTTCTTTCACCTATGAAGTGAAATATCTATCCCACAATAGATAATAACTAATGCATGCGACTTGGTAATAATACAATGTTTTACATATAGTACAAGCTTAATACATACTAACTACAGGCTGATTTTCCACACTAGCTTGCTCACTCCTAATTTCTTCCTTCTTTCCTTCCTCCTTTCTTTCCTTCTTCTGCCTTTTTTCTCCTGTTCGTGTGTGTGTGTGTGTGTGTGTGTGTGTGTGTGTGTGTGTGTGTGATATGGGGTCTCATCGTAGCTGGTTTGACCCAAGTTAGTCTTGAACTAGGCTTAGTCCTTCCACTTCAGCCTCCCAAGTAGCAGGGACAGCAGGAACCACATCCAATCAGTTCCCTCCTGCCTCCTTTGCCCGGGATCCTTTTTCAAAAATGAAGGTCTTTTAGAGACTATTTGTGCCAGTGGGGAAAGAAAATTGAAAGCCATAGATACTTTAAGAATAATTAAAGAATAAGAGACCATGAACCTGAGGAGTGGAAGGTGTTTGGGAGGATGAGGAGGGAGGAGAAGAGAATGGTATAAATATAGTATTCTTATATGAAATTCTATAACAAACAAATTGGAGGGAAAAGAATTTGGTGAACAAGGAAAAAAACTCATTTTTGGGATCAGAACTATTTCAGAATGTGAGATGGACACAGGAACACAGCTCTGCATCAGCCCCTTGACACCTGTAGACAAGGTAGGTGTAATTACAGCAACATCTGGGAGTCAGGAATCACATTTCCCACTGTGAATGGAAAAGAAGGTGAAGTGCAAGACCTGGGAAGAAAGAGGAGTAAAACTATTTCAGAGCAATTTATTCATTTTTTTTCTAAATAGTACATAGGAGTGCATGGCAGAGATAGCAAGAAGCCGAGGCCACCAGCAGAGCTGCCGAACAACAGCTGGAAACTAGAAGTCAGAGAGTTAAATGTGACTCATCCCTGGAAATGATGAATTTCTCCAGCCCCCCAAAAAAGAATAGAAGGGGGGACTGCAGAGGCTTTTAGAGAAACAAACAGCCTTTATCCGAAGCTAATCAATTCACTTAATTAATCACCTGTTCCTCCACCAGCTGATCGATCCCCACCCACACCATGCAGGACCTGAGGTCTGGAAAGAATAAATAATTTAGTCAAGGTCATCCAGTAGCAGAACTGAAAGTACTTGCCACATTTCCCTTGTCCTAAGCTAGGGATCTCTCGGTTATAGTGCAGGGGAAAACTAAACACAGGACACCGAGGATTAAAAAAAACAAGCGCTTGGGTTTTCATTAACTATTAAACAAAAATCAAGAGACCCCGGAGAGTGAGGAAGGGCGCTGGAGCCTCATGGAGGTGTGACTTACAAATGTAGGAAAAATGATAAAGAATGTATGGTGTGTGTGTGTGTGTGTGTAGAAAGGGATCCTATATAGGTGGAATGGTGAGCAAAGTCTAGCTTGAATACCAGTAAACTGGGTTTAAATCACAGTTACCAATTCACTGTGTATCGTCTATCATCTAGATTGATTTCCTTCATAAACCTCCGGGAATTGTTTTATATCTGCTCTGTGTAATGCAGTAGCTAGCCATCAGCATGTAGTTATGAAACACTTGAACTGTGACTAATTCTGATTGAGATGTGCTGTGCGTGTAAAGTAGACATGCTCTTCCAAGGACCTAGAAACAAACAATAGAAATTATATGGATATTGTCTATATTGATTACATGCTGAACGAATGTCCATGAATTACACTTCTCAAGTATCATGTTTCTTTTTATCCTTTTCAGCACAAGTATGAGATAATTTAGACATTTCTCAAATGGCTCACAGTATATTTCTATTGAGCATTGCTGGGTCAAGATGATCTCGAAGATTACTTTCATTTCAACCAGTCAATTGTTTTATAATGGCAGCAATATAGGGAGGGCAGAAAAACAATCAAGACTCCATGTCAACAGTTGGAAATAAGTCAGAAGAGAAAAGAGAAAAAATGGAACCAAATCTCAACTGCAGGTCCTCATGGTCTGGAAACAAGAGCAGCTGCACCTCATTTGGCTTTGCTCTCTCATCGGGCCTAGAGTTGGCTGTTTCTAAGTGATAACTGGCTTTGACAAGGCAGATAATTGCTATAGATGCTTTCTCTTTTGAATAACTTCACAAATAATAACAAACATGGTGTCTTCTTACTCTGCTAAAATTCCCAATTAATAGGAAATGAAATAGCACTTACCAGAAACAAAACTGAGAGCCAGTGGCTAGCCAGCCAGTTTCCCATTGTTGAGTCCAAGTTTGGAACCTCTGTAGGAGCAATGTGGCTTCTGGAGCGGGCCCTCTTGGTAAAGACTTCTTTAACAAGGTTTATGAGTCTGTAAGATGCCAAAATACACACCTATTCACAAAGCTTCCAAAACTGGGGTCTGCCTTCTCATCTAGATGGAGCTGTGTTATCAGCTCAGGTAGAAAAGCCCCGCCTGTGGCAACCACAGGGATTTTCCCTGGTGAAGCTTTTGCTCTTTCAGGAAATAGCCGCCTCTCTGGTAATCTTTACAAGGTGACTTCATAAAGCACCGTTTTCCTTGACAAGGCATTTGTTTAAATTCTTCACAAGAAGCACAATTAGGCTGAAACTACACAGAGATCCACTACAAAGAGGAAGAAGCGAAGCAAGTGTTTTAAGGAAGTTTCTACCCTGTGTGGTTTGAGACAGCTCTCACGTAGCCACGCTAGCCTCAATCATACTGTGTAGCTGAGGATGACTTTAGGCTCTCATCTTCTTGCCTCCTGGGATTATAGGAGTGCGCCCCCACACTTACTCTATGCAATATTGGGGGTCAAAACCAGAACTTCTTCCACACTAGGCAAATACTCTGTCAAACTGAGAAACATTCCCAGAATTTTGGAGCTGACCCCTCAGAAGCTATAGCACAGCAGCAGCCATCTAGACCATAGTTCAGCTAACTCCGAAATTTGAGTAAACCAATATCCCTGCAGGATGATTCCAGACTGATGGATATGATAAGGGTGCTAAGGAGAACTTGACTGGCCCGAAGGCCAAATAGAATATGTCAAGCACCTTATTCAAACAGACATGGAGCTTTCAGAAATGGGGAGGTGATTGTCCTCTAGTATGGTGGGGAAGCTAGAGTTCATTGTTGAGCTCTGAGCACTAAAACTGTTCCTTTCTACACTGGGAGACACATATAAGAGTACACAGTGTGTGTGTGTGTGTGTGTGTGTGTGTGCATGTGCGCGTGTGTGTGTGAAGTACAGAACAATTGTAAAGAATTCATACCTAGGGTGTTCCTCTTTAATCACGTCTCTTTATCTGCTTCACCAATGAAACCCGAGATTTGAAGCACAAATTCCCCCTTTAGATTTTTCATAACTCTATTTAATGGCTCACAAACTCTTCAGTTATTTCCATTCTGATTTTTTTCTCATTTTGAAGTTTTGTGAAAGAAATATAGTTGTATGTGTGCATTGCACACTTCTGTGTTTTGCTTTCTTCGGAGAGTCACACATGCTGGTAATGTAGTCACAATTCACTTACTTCGTATTAATCCTTCTGTTTGTGGAGTAATGATGGGATAGTATTAATGGATTGTCACATATATGCTACATTTTGTCTAAGGTTCCTACCCGGGAGTGGAATTCCTGGATCCTGAGATTTGCAAATATTTTTCACAGCCAAGATGTTCTAAAGCCCTCATGTAACTGTCTGCTCCAATGAACTCCACAGAAGAGTTCCACTTCCTCCACGTGAATGTTTAGGATTATTAAATTAAGCATCTTTTAATTCAACTGCTAGTACTTGCATTTTCTCTTTTGATAATTGCCTAGTCTAGTTGCTAGGGTTTTTAAATCTATATGTCTATTGGCTTCATTTCCCCTGCTTATAGATTTTGAGAGTTCTTTTATTGATTGTAGTTGTTGCAGCTTTACATTTTTTTGTCTTTTAAAAACGTGAGTGACATGCAATTGTGCAAGTGTGAGTGCCCATGGATGCAGCAGAAGCCATAGGCCAATGTCAAGTGTTTTATTGTCACACTTCAGTTGATTTTTTTGGAGACAGGTCTCCCATTAACCTAAAGCTTGTGTTTTGCTGGACTGAATGGCCCAGCAAGTCCCCGAGGTCAAAGCTATCTCAGCACACCCGGCTCTGAGATTACAGACAACCCCAGGGCACAGGCTTTACCACAGGTGATGGCGTTCAGGTCAGGTTCCTTATGCCTGCTCAACAAGCACTTTACCCACTTGGCCATCTTCCCAACCCTATCTTTATGGCCTTGATAGTGTTTTCTGATCAGTGGAAAGTCTTTTTCTTAATGATTTCTCTATTTTGGGACTGTTTTAGTAATCCATTACTACACAGATGGCAGGATGGTCTCATGTATCTTCTTCTTAAACTTCATGGTTTTGCCTTTCACAATTATGCTCTGGATCCATCTGTTTTCTTTTTTAATTACATATCCGCCGTGTTTATCTAGAGGTCAGAGGAGAGTTTGAAAGCATGAGTTCTCCCATTCCACCACGTGTGGTTTAGGGATTGAACTCTGGACATCAGACATAGCAGCATTCGTCCTCAGCAGGTGGGCACTCATGAAAAGTTTTTTAAGTATAATGTTTTTATCAATTCTTTTTTCACTTTTATTGATTCTTTGTGAATTTCACATCATGCATCAGAACTTCAAACATGCATTTCAAGGTATTTTTAGCATATTCACCCCCTATTCTCTTCCAACTCATCCCAGATACACCCCGCACCACCCAAATTCTGTCTGAACTTCATGTCCTCTTTCATAGCCTCTCTTATAGCCCACTGAGTCAAATTTGAGTTCCCCTTAGACTCATGGTTACCCCATTTTCTCTGACTTCTTGCTCTTACAAGATCCCCACCTCTTACACAATGTTTCCCTAGCCTGAAGGGAAAGGGTTGTAATGCGGTGTCTCAGTTGTGGCTGAGAACTTCACGAGGCCACTTAATCTCTGCACTTTGATCAGTTCCGAATTTCTGTGTTGGAAGAACGATGAATAAAATCAGTGACAGATATTGGGGTTCAACCTGAAGACCAGAAAAATCAAAGCAGCCAGCCATTGGCTCTTACCTCAACCTCAGTCCAAAAATGGTGATCCTGCCTCCAGGAAACCTCAGAATGAGACTGTGTCTGAGAGCTGTCTCCTCCTGTTTTATATTCCTCTCTATTGTTGGGATTAAAGGTGTGTACCACTACTGCCTGGTTTCTGTGGCAAGCTAGTGTGGCTACTGGGATTAAAGGTGTGTGTCACTATGGCTACTGGGATTAAAGGTGTGTGTCATTGCTGCCTGGTCTGTAAGGCTGGCCAGTGTTGCTGTTTTACTTTTCTGATCCTCAGGCAAGCTCTATTTGTTAAAATACAAATGAAATGTCACTGCATGTGTTAACTGTCATCCACTTACACAAAGAAGTCTCTTTCAGGGGGTCTGAGAGCTGCACTATTCTATGGATATAGAGATGCGAATTTAGAAAGCAGTTTAACACCGTGTCCCTTTAGGACAGTAATAGTAGTAGTTTCACCTCTTAAGCCTATGAGCTCTGAAGCCATGGGATCTTGGGGTAGATTTACAGTACTAGGATGTATTTCCTCCTGACAGGAAGAGGCTGGGAAAGCACGTCTTAAATCTAATCCAAAAAGTAGTTACACGAAGTTACGGAGGGTAACCAAGATCAATGGCCATAGTCCGTGTGGCTTTGGGGGTTTTGGGGACATCTGTGAACAACCTGGAGCAAAGTATCCTGCATCTGGAATTGCATTTTCTTGACGCGGTAACCTGTAGCTTCTAGGATTAGCATAATTCTTAAGTGGTTTTTAAAATTAAAGTGTATTAATTGCTGGAGTTGACTTTCCATGTATGGTGTAAGGCAGAATTTTAATGTGCTTGTTTTCTACATGGAAAACTAAAAATTCCAAAATCATTTTTCAAATGTCTTCTTTCTTTCCTGCTATGAAGTGTGAATTGTGTCGTGTTTATTAATAGATATCAAATGTCTATTGCATGTGGCTTTGTTCTTGATCTCTCAGTTTCCTTCTCCCTTGTAGTCGCCTTAATTGCTATGGTTTTTGAAGTCTTAGTTGACAGGACAAGCTTTCACATCTTGCTATTCAAAAGCATGGCTATCCTTAGCCTTTGAAACTTTTATACAAACTTTATTGCTAAGTGCTTTATATTTTCATGAGATCATAAATGATACATGTTTAAATTATGACCAATACATAAAAATATATAACTAGTGTTTACATATTGAATGCTATATTTAACATTTACAAATTCACTTATGAAGTATTTTATTTTCATTTTATTTGTATGAGTGTTTGCTTGCATGTGTGTCTGTGCCTGGCACCCACAGAGGTAAGAAAAGGATTTCAGATTTCCTGGGACTGGAGTTGTGGATGGTTGTGAGCCACCGTGTGGGTGCTAAAAGCTGAACTCTGATCCTACATCACAGCAACAAGTACTCTTAGCCACTGAGCCATCCTGCCAACTCTCGCAAATTCTGTATTTCGGCTTGTTATTGTAGGTTTTCTAAAAAGCCCAACTACGTTTCCACTCTAATTATAGTTTCCTTCCTCTCTGTTTCTTGTATCTCTTCTTTTTCTTTTTTTTCCTTCTTTTTCTTGACTTACTTCATTCACATAACGAAGTAAAATGCTGAACAAAGGGAGTGTTCGCATCTGTTTAGCTAATTTAAAAGTCACAAAGAGGATTCATTCTGCTGACTTTTAAGGATTCTCTTTTATGTGAGTTTTGTAGATACCCAAAGACATATTCTTGTCTTATTTTACACTATGCACAAAAGACACTATTGCTTGGCAGTGATGGCACATGCCTTTAATCCCAGGACTTAGGAGACAGAGACAGGCAGATCACTGAGTTCAAGGCCACCCGGGACTACAGAGTGACTTCTAGAAGAGCCAAGATGGTTTCACAGAGAAACCCTGTCTAGAAGAAAAAAAGACACTATTAATTTAAAAGAAGAAAAGAAACGATAGCATGTTTTAACGGCTTCGTTAAAGTATGATTTTGTATACCATAAAAGCTTTACTCTTGGCCGGGCGATGGTGGCGCACGCCTTTAATCCCAGCACTCGGGAGGCAGAGGCAGGCGGATCTCTGTGAGTTCAAGACCAGCCTGGTCTGCAGAGCTAGTTCCAGGACAGGCTCAAAAGCCACAGAGAAACCCTGTCTCGAAAAACCAAAAAAAAAAAAAAAAAAGCTTTACTCTTTATAAGAGTATAGCTCAACACACAGCACACTTTACATTTATTTTTAAAAGCTGAAAATCTCAACACCACAAACCCCATTAAAGCAACATTTTATTAGCTGGGTG